CTTCTTCCATGTGGGCTTTGTTGCTTCTGAGCTAGATGGCCGCTTGTTTACCTTCAAGCTTTTAAGACCCCAGACGCTATATCTTTTGATAGCTGATGGTGCTCAGACCAGTCTTATCGGGTCTTTCCATGTTTTAGGTGACTCGGCTAGCTTTGGGTGTCGGTCAGGTCTCAGCCCAGTTTTATCAGGGGTCCCACATTTTTGTGGTGGCTTCTTGGATGTAGCTGTTGACTTGGGCCCCAATGTTACATTTTACTTTGTCTTCAAAGTGGAGTTTCTTGTGTTTGTTTCTTTGATATGGCTCAACGTCTTGCAAGGTAGTTCAACGTCTTGCAAGGAAGTTCAACGTCTTGCAAGGTAGTTCAACGTCTTGCAAGGTAGTTCAACATCTTGCAAGGAAGTTCAACGTCTTGCAAGGTAGTATTATGGTGCTCTCATCACAGTTCAAAGGGAAGCTACATGCAGAAGAAAGGGAATGAAGGAAGCTTAGAGGCAGAAGTAGAAAAGGAGGGGAAGAGAGAGGCCTCCAAGACTAGACCCCACCCCCAGCCCACATGACCTGGGTGCTCAGAGGAAGGAAGGACAGCAGAGCTGTCATCTCTGGGGCACCAGCTTGGTGAGCAGTTCTGGGGCCGGAGCTCTTCCCACAGCGGGAGCAGAGAGCAGAGCAGGGACCCATGGAGCCCCCCTCAGTCACTCCCAGCAAAGGGCACAGCTCCTGGCAGGGGACACTGCTCACAGGTAAGAGAAGACAATCTTCTGGGGCGTGGGAGGGGGAGAACAGAGATGGGCTAGGGTCTCCCCGGGAGGTCAACAGTCTGGGAGGTGACAGAAAGCTCCCTGAGAGTAGAGAGGATGCAGAAGGGGCAGGTGGGCCACCACAGGAAATGTCAGGGAAGTGGAATTGGTTAAGAAGCAGAACAGAAAAGGACAAACATGCTGCTCTCAAGGCAGCTCTGGCTCACAGTGATTGTACAGCACGGAGGAGAGCTGCCCCTCCGAGTTTCCAAGGCTGTGAATCTTTCCTGGAGCAGAAAGCGCCGTCTTGCTCCCGAGGCACAGCTGGTGGGTTCAAACTGCTGCCCTTGTGGTGAGCGGCTCAACGCATCCCCCATTACACCATGAGAACTGGTAAGGGGAGTAACACTTCAAGTGCAGTATGTTTCCCAAATTAACCATCGCTAAACAATGAATTTTTAAAACTGATAACATTTTTTTTTAAACGTATGTCAATGTGGTAGCTAGGAAAAGCCTCAACAAGGGGCTCTAAACAGTGTCCTTGCCGACCCACCTTAGGAAAGGACAAGGAAACACCGGGATGTGGGAGAGAACCTTCACTGATCCCTCCAGGGGGTTGAGCCCTGTCTAGGCACTAGGGGTACAGCCCGCCCCTCCCTTCATGATGCTCACAGCTAGGGGAGATGCAGATAGACAAGGAAACAGATTTACATGTGAGGTCTGATGTTACCACACCATGGAGGACACAGAGCAGGGACAGGACAGTCGTGGGGACAGAGGTCTGTAGAGGAGATGTCAGGGAAGGTGACCTCCCGGGATGCTGCTGAGCGAGCAGGCACCTGAGGACCATGAATGAGTGAGCCCTGGACACCTGGGGGAGAGCGTGAGAAAAAGAAAATCACAGGGTCTAAGGCACTCAGAAGAGCTGACCTTCAGAAACTCACTCCTCCTTGTCCCAGGGCTGAGAGGGGCCTGCTCAGACTCAAGGGCCCAGCTTTCCCTCCCAACACCCTCGTCCACGTGCTGACATCACTTTCTCTCTCTTCCCTCCTAGTCTCACTGTTACTCTCCTGGAGCCCACCTTCCACAGCACGACTCACCCTGGAATCCGTGCCCCGTGCTGCTGCTGAAGGACAGGATGTTCTTCTCCGCAATCCTTCACAAGAAGAGGCTTTAGTCTACAGCTGGTACAAAGGGGATCACATTGTAGCATATGTAGTAGCCACTGGAAAAGCTACTGAGGGGCCAGCCCACACGGGTAGAGAGACCATATACCCCAATGGGTCCCTGCTGTTGCAGAATGTCACCCTGGGAGACACAGGCACCTACTCACTACTAATAACAAAGACAGACGCAGTGATTGAGACATTGACTGGACAGATCCATGTATTCCGTGAGTCATCCCTCTCTGACATCTGGGCATGGGGAGGGGTTAATTCTACTTTAAGATAATGATTGACAGGTCTGGATCCGTTACTGAGCTGCACTCACTGCTCTAGTCCATTGCTGGATTTGAGCTTTTCCATCAGAATTCCTCTCCTGAATCCAGACCCTGCAGACATTCCCTGTGGATAGCATCCTCTGAGGGGCATTAACTAAGCAAAAGGGTGATCGCTCAATCAATGCTCCCACCCTCTACTGCACTTCACCTGAAGGTGACCCTGGAGCATTTGGTCAGGTCCTGGCCTGAGTGACTCCTGGGTCCTCGCTGACAAACTCATGTTCAAGAAGACCCTTCCACACCCTGTACTAAGCCTGATGCTTCCTGAGCCTGAGGAGCCTGTCACCAGGATACCGTATTCACCTCCTGGGCAGGGCTGACTAGGAGCAACAACGGACTGACTTCAGAGTCTTGGGCTCCTGGAGCCAGAGCTCAGCTCCAAGAGATAGTCTAGTCAGTGAATAATAAACCAAGTCCTCCCCTGCGGTTCCGTTTGGAGACCAGAGATAGACCAGTGCCCCGGACCATTAGCGGACTACCCTAGGCAATTTAGACGACTTCCCAGGGAGGTCAGTGTCCCCAGGAGGAAGAAAGAGGGGAGAAGAGGCTGCAGGTAGTGAGTGTGTTTCCATCTGAGGAGCCCTCTGGTGGGTGGAGAAGATACTACAACAAAAGACCAAACTCACTGTCATCCAGTCAACACTGACTTATGGAAACCCTGTGGGACAGGGTAGCGCTTCCCCTGTGGGCTTCTCAGACCTTAACGCTGCAAGGAAGTATTGTTTGTGCAGCTCCTCCGGACCTCGCTTTAAGTAAGGCAATTGTAAATACGTACAGGTTCATTCAGAGAGCCTTGCAAACGAGATACCATTTATCCTTTCATTGACCTTACTGAGGGGAAACTGAGGCATGGAGAGAAGAACTGCTGAATCAGGCTCACAGGGAGGGACCATGACTATCAGATCAGTTTCACACCAGGATCTGGCTGTAGCCAGCCCTGACCTTTCCCCCAACTTGGGTGACTTTATTGAGGGGGTCGACCCTGAAAGCAGCCATAGGTTCAGATTCTTTCTTCTTAGACAACCCCAGGAAGATATTTTATGGGGGTAGCGGTGGGGGAACGGAAGGCGTCAGACAAACCAATAGTGAATGCTTGTTTTACCTAAGAACTAAATTACTTACTTCAACACCCAATTAGGGGGAGGCAGGCACAGGCCTCCCTGTCCATACAGACAATCCACGTGCTCCCTACACTGGAGGGGAGTCATTACTGTGTTTGTTGACTGAACTGTGCTGTGTCTCTCCCAACGGAGCATAAAGGAGAGGAATTTGCTTTCTCCCTCCTCATGCACATGTGATCCAGCGTAATAAATTGCTCTAAAGGAAGCAGGGTATAAACGAATGATTCACAATCACTCTGTGAGGAGTTAGTGACAAGGAACTCTTTTCTTCATTGACTAACACCAGTTCTTCTAATTTGAAGTCTTTTCTTCTTCTCTATTGAGATACCTCAGAATTCCCCTCTGATCAATTCTATCCCCTCAGCAAGCTTACCTGTCTCTCCCCACCCAAGGAGACCCTGATTTCAAACTGACAGCAGCAGCATCCTTTGATGGTACTGTGATCTTTGCTGGCCATCAGATCTTAGCCTGAACGCATCTAGTGCTCTCTATTACAAATGTTCCTTCCAGCAATTGGTCTTGGATCTTTGACTCATTAATAATCGTTTTCACAGATGGGAGACATTTAAACATTTAATCAAATTTATATTCAGGTCCACTACACATAAGTTGTCCATCATGGCCAGACCCACGGCAAGGGCATGCTCTCCTCACTTCCTGTTAGTGACCCCTCTGCATGTGGAACTGTCCACATGTATTTCAGGACAGGTAGACGTTATCTCACTTGTTCTCAGTCATGGAACAAGGGTCATTAAAGACCCAGGAGAGAGAAACGGGTTCTATTTCCAAAGCCAGCGAATTCGTGGTGATTCCCTCACTCTTTTCTAGATTATTCCTTGATTTCAGATCACTGGGCCATGACCTCTCCTCAGTCACCATAAAATATTGAGAAAAATTTCTCCATCTCCTGACCTCCTGACCTGACCACTGGATTGACCACTGGGCTTACTCCTAGTCTCACTGAGTGTAATTTCTACTCAGAGCACCCAGTCACCAGACCAGTATACCCCCTATCTTCAGATTGGAGAGTAGTAAGAACATCCAGAATATCTTTGAACAGAAGTTTCAGAAAAACACACCTGGCCTGGCAACGTAGAATTGGAGAACTTCGGGGACTGCAGCACACACAAGTTCCAGAGAAGGAAACTGAGGCCAATCAAACAGTCAGCTGATCAGAGGAGAGCCAGGAAAGGCTGTGGATGATGTCTCATCTCTAGACCTACTCCTTCATGAAAATTCGAGAAAAAATCTGAGATTTTTTTCAGTAATAGAATCAAGATGATAAGCCTTGTATTCTCTAATACTCCAATTGTCAGGCATTTTTCTAATAAGACAAGTATGTTAAAGCCTCCAGGTTGGCTGCAAGGAACACAAAGCCAACTCGATTGGAAGATGCTTTTGAAAGAATCAAAGGTACCAAGTGAGGTCAATAGTTTCTCTGTTTTCTCTGAGAGGGAAGTTACCCAAAACCCTCCATCAAGAGCAGCAGCTCTGACCCTGTAGAGGACAAGGACTCTGTAACCTTATTGTGTGATGTGTTCATTCTAGCTAAGAAAAAGAACTTTCAAATCCCCAAACTTTAATATATATGTATAGAAACATATTTTATAAATATACATATAAGTAAATATATATATATAAGTAAACATAACTTGTACTTATTGTGTGAACCTGAGACTCAGAACACAACAACCACTGTCACAAGGAATGAATCAGGACTGTATGAATGTAGAACCAGGAACCTAGTGAGTTCCAGCCATAGTGACCCATTCTCCCTGAAGGTTCTCTGTAAGTGTATTAGTCTGGGTCAGGGGTCCTCAAACTATGGCCTGCGGGCCACACGTGGCCCGTCCAGGACATTTATCCGGCCCGCCGGGTGTTTTTGCCCCGTTTGTTTTTTTACTTCAAAATAAGATATGTGCAGTGTGCATAGGAATTTGTTCATAGTTTTTTTTTTTAAAAATTATAGTCTGGCCCTACAACAGGTCTGAGGGACAATGAACTGGCCCCCTGTTTAAAAAGTTTGAGGACCCCTGGTCTGGGTACTTTAGAGAATCAAATCCACAGAAACTCATGTATAAGAGAGTTTTATTTAAAGGGTAATTGCGCATCAAGAAAACATCCCAATCCAGTGCTGCCCAAGCCCACAAGTCCAACGTTCACCCATTAACCCATATGTCCAATAGCAATCCACAAAGTCCTCCTCCATCTCACAAAACACATTATGATAGTGACCGTAGGAGGAAATCAGAATCAGTGAATGTGTAAGTGTCTCAGCGCTGGCAAGGGTCTCCACACGACTGCTCCAGCACCCAGGGCTGCACCGGGGTAGGTCCATGTGGCTTCTCCTTGGGGATGTCTTGCAGGAAGTGAGCCTTGGCAGCTGAAGCAGGGAACTGGCTAAGAGCTGCACCCTGATCCAACCATTAGAAAGGAAGAGACCGGAGGACTAGAAAGGCGAGGCTCACTGAGCCATTTATCCCTCTGCCCTTCATTTAACCCCACATGTGTTTATCGTCAGGTTAGCACAATAAACTAACTACCCCAGTGAGTATCTTCTGTTCCTCCATGACACAGGCTACAGGTCCATTCCACACTGTCAGAGGCCAGTCAGTGTTAGACTACTCAGGTCTTAAGTACATGGACCATCAGCTCCTGGACGCCCAGGCTAGCCATGGCATCCTTTCTCTGAAAAACACCGACAAGCAGAGTCATGCAGGTGATGAGAAGGGGTGAGGCTGTTCCTGGTCAGTGACTCTCATGGTCAAAGCTTGAGCTGGAGAAACAGGTCAGTCATCTCAGAATCAGGCTCAGAGAAGAAAGGGGGCTTATTGTGTGGGACTTTCAAAAATCAAGACTCAGAGGGAAGCTGTGGCCCTTCCCTCTAGTTACATCACAGCATGGCTTTGTTCTGTTTGCTCCAGATGGCCCCGACACCTCCACGATCTCCCCCTCAGCTGAGCATTACTCTCTAGGGAACAACATCAACTTCACCCGTGAAGCAGTTTCTAACGCATCTGCACAGTATTCTTGGTTTATCAATGAAACCTCCGGGCAATCCACACAGCAGCTCTTTATCCCCGACAGCACTGTGGGTGACAGTGGGAACTATATCTGCCGTGTCCATAACTCTGCCACTGCCCTCAGTAGAACCACAGCCAAGACTATCACAGTGTCTGTCAAGTGGCTCCCTGGAACGGCAGCCCTGAGCTCTGGGGTGGAAGCCAGTCTGCTTTTCTGAAATATCCTGAAGGGAGTTAATGCCTAGGCACACGAAATCCCAAATTCTGTCCCTCACCCTTCCCACTATATCCCAGGAGACTGCTGGCTCTGGCTCTTTTATTTATCAGGGCAGACCTTGGGTTCAGACTGGATCACAGGAGGGAGCTATCTCAATCTCAGGAAACTCCAAAGAATGTGGATGGCGGTCGGTGGGGGGTGGTGGCAGGGTGGCTGGGTGAGAGTCTCATAGTGGGGGAAGGGGCAATGTCCTCAAGGCTAACTAATACCTATGTCACTAACCTGTCCCTTTCCGCTTCTCTTTGTTTTCTTTCACGGACTCCACATCTTTCGGATCGTAGTGTGGATAGTTAGCGTCCTATGACTGTGCGCAGGTGCAGAGGGGTGATGTGCTAGCTGAAACTGCCCTCCTCTGTTCCCTACTCCTCACTCCGCCACCTGGTTCTGGCCCCACCCTGGTTGCACCAAGCAGTATGGAGCGAATGTGCAGGCTGGAAAGCACTAACCCCGTCAGCACTTCAACCACGCCCGGTCAGGCTGCAGGAAAGAGGGAAAAGCCTGGGGCTGAGGCATCTGAAGCTGCATCTACCTGTAAAGTCACAGCTGTGGAGGCTGTGTGACACGGACAGAGCACTCACAAAGGAAAACAGTGTGTCATGAAGCATACTTGGAAAACTAGGTGATTCACCCAAGAAGTCTCTGCATGGAAGGGAAGGGGCAGGGCCACATAAAACCTGTGAAAGCAGGAAGCCGTGCACATAGAGACCTGTCAGAGAAGAAACTCAATTGTCTTCTCTTCTAGAAAGAGATGGAAAAGGATCAGACTGCATTCGCTCAACGCTGAGACACTTTCCAGACCCAGTAATAGGAGACAGTCCCACTGACTTCCGGCTGTCACAGGTTTCCCTAATTTATAGAGAGGGCGGAGACTCCTAGCCTTTCTTAAACTCGAAGGACGCATTGCACTGGGGTCAATCTGCTGCACAAGAACTCTTTAAAACTGTTGAAAAGCAAGGATGTTACCTTGAGGGCTAAGGTGTGCCTGACCCAAATCATGGTTTTTTCAATTGCCCAACATGCATGTGAAAGTGGTCATCGAATAAGGAAGACCAAAGAAGAGTCGATGCATTTGAACTATGCTGTTGGCAAAGAATATTGAACGTACCAGGGAGGCCAAAAGAACAAGTCTGGCATGGAAGAAGTACAGCTGGATGCTCCTTAGAAGCAAGGGGTGAGATTTTTATCTCAAGTAATTTGGACATGTTGCCAGGAAAAAATCGTCTTGGAGAAAGACATCATACTTGGTAGAGTCGAGGGGCTGGGCAAGTAGAGGCAGGTCCTGGACAAGGTGGACTGACACAGTGGCTACCATGGGCTCAGGCATAAGAACAACGGTGTGGGGGTGCAGGACGGGGCGGTGTTCTGCCCTGCTGTCCATAGGGTCTCTGTGAGTCAGGACCACTGGGGCAGCACCGGACAACAGCTTCATAACTGTTTCTCTCTGAACATTCTTCACCTGATGCGCAACCGACAGACTGGAAGCAGCATTTTTTCAGACTGTGAAATCCTTTAGAGAGGAAATTCTCTAGTTTCTAAAGCTGTGAAGATCGGGCCAGGCTGTGTTCATTCCCTCACATCTCAGCTCACTGCCATGAAGTCAGTGCCAAATCACAGCACCTATAAAACTGGGTGCACCCTATAAAACTGGGAGCACCCTATAAAACTGGATACAACTGCCCCTATGAGTTTCTGGGATGGTAACTCTTTAAGGGAGTAGAAAGTTGATCCTCCCGCAGAGCTGCTGGTGGTTTCAAACTGCTGACCTTGCAGATCACAGCATGAGTGATCACTATACCACCCATGTCCCTTGTCCCTCCCATCCTGTTGAACCAAGGAGAAACCCCTTCCCATCTGGATGTTAATCCGACTGCCCTGAGCTAGAGGAGGCCAGCAGCCTGTTTTACCCACATCTACTAAAGAAGAGCCTGATCTCTTACAAAGTCCCAGGAGGGGCTAGAAAGACTCACAACAGCATCTGTCAGAAAAATCCTACCCAGTGACAGGGGTGGTGGGCAGATGGACTGGGAAGAGGCCCTGTGCTGAGCCTCCAGAACACCTGCGCTGCTACTTCCTAGTGAGGGGAGGGGCCACATGGTCTCACAGATTCCACGTGGACAGACGCACCACCTCTGTGGAAGGTTAGGGGCAACCTCCGGGCAGCTTTTGAGCTCACTCTGGGACCTGTAAGCTGGCTGAAAGCTCCTGGGGAAATGGAGGTCCCCAGTCCCAGGCCCTCTCTCAGTCACCTCCTCTGTTTTTCCACAGAGGCCTTGACCAAGCCCTCCATCCAGGCCAGCAGCACCGCAGTCTCAGAAACTACAGGCCCCGTGGTCTTCACCTGCCTCACCAAACACAACGGAATCTCCATCTCCTGGTTCCATGATGGTGAAAGACTGCGGCTCACGGAGAGGATGAAGCTGTCCCAGGACAACAGCTCCCTCACCATAAACCCTGTCAGGGTGGAGGATGCTGGGAAGTATCAGTGTGAGGTCTGCAACCCAGGCAATGCCCAGAGAAGTGACTCCCTCACCCTGACTGTGGAAGGTGAGTGACATTTTTTATCTCCTCCTACATCTTCCCAGCACAGACCCATTCTAGCCGTGGTGGGCCACATGGGGAAACGTCACCAGGGCCAGAATGTCAGTGAATAGAAAATGAGGGTAAGCACTGGTAGCGTGATCCAGGGCGGGCTTTGATCCAAAGCTGTGCGTAAGTTTTATGTGTCAACACTGATCAGCACATGTGGACTTGTGCAGGGTTCTGAACTTCTCTGAGCCTCAGATTCCTCAACTGAAAACTGCACTAAGGGCACTGCTTTATAAGATGGTTTTAAACTTGAATGTGTTCTTCAATTAAACTGTTAGCAAAATGCTACATGAAAAAAAATTCCACAAATGTTATGATTTCTAACTGCTATTTACAGGGTTGCTATGAGTCAGATGGCAGTGAGTTTGGGGTTTTGATTATTATTCTCCCTGAAAGCAGGTAGGCTTGAAGTTAAATGCCAGATCTGCCTCATTCTGCTCTAAGACTTTGGATGTGTTGTTGTTTTTTTACCATCCAAGACTCAGATTTTCATCTGTAAAATGGGAATCCTATGTACATGAGAGAACGACCGTAAAGATCAAATGTGGTACATGTGGTCTGCACAGACCCTGGCATAGAAAGTCCTCAATAAACACCAGTCAGTATTGGCATCTACCACTTGTCTGTCAGTTTGTCCTACTGTGGTGCCTTGTGTGTTGCTGTGATGCTGGAAGCTATGTCACTGATAGTTCAAATGCAAGCAAGGTCAACCAAGGTCGACAGGTGTCAGGGGAACTTCCAGCCAAAGAACAGACAAAGAAGAAGGAATCAGCTGGTCACTTCGGAGGAGGTAGCAACTGGAAACCTTATTCCTAGTTTTGAGTCATTGTCAGAAACTGAAGGACTGATGAATGGAAGCAGACCATTGTCAGAGATTTCGCCGAAGGACGGACCCCTTGAGGCCAAAAACACTCAAAATGTGACGGAGGAGGAGCTGCCTTCTCAGAGTGGAGTAGATCATGGTGATGCTGAGGCAAACTGACCAACGTGACTCCATTTCGTTGACCTGCATACTTCTCCCCTCCTTTCTCGCATATGCCACCCGTTGATTGATTTCAGAATGTACTCATGTACCCAGGTTCAGGACATTGTAATTAACTTTGCAATTCTTTAATATTGTTCCTTTTTGATGTTTCAATTAATCCATTAATATTGCTTTCTGCTTGTCATAGAATTGCCGAAGCCCCTAACCAATGAGCCAAATAATTTTTGTGGTTTCTCTCTCTATAAGCTCCCTGATAATTTCACTAGGGCCTGCAATTTAGGGAAGTTCTTTTAGCTTCTTCACTGCCCAGCTATCTGAATAAAAGACTCATAAAAATTTCAAGGCATTAGAGTGGCTGTCATGTATTTGAACCCACAACAACGTGAGTGGATAATGCTGTGAGAGTGAAGTCTTCACAACATTGCTGATCACACAAGAGAATTTTCCAGGAGCAACGACTTGCTCACACCAAACACCTTTTTTCAACAACACTTCTTCAGCTGGAATACACAGAAATTACATGGCCCACAGCGGTAAGAAGAGACAGTGGAAAAGCTCAACATTAGCAGCCAAAATCAGGCTAGGGGGCTGACTGTGGAACGGACCTCCAATTGCTCATATGTAAGTTCAAGGTGAAGCTGCAGAAACTGAAAATAAGCCCAAGAATGCAAAAATGCAACCATGTGTCTTGGCTGAAAGCAGATAATCCCAGAAAGATGTGTACATGTGTTTATTGATCATGCCAAGGCACTCAACTGTGTGGATCATAAGAAGCAATAGGCAACCTTGCGAAGAATGGGAATTCCAGAAGACGTTTCTGTGTTCCCGTGGAACATGGACACGGATCAACAGGCAGTTGTGAGAACCAAGGAAGAGCACAAAGTTCAAAATCAGCAAAGCTGAGCATCAGTGGTGTTTCTTTCCTCTCATCGTACTTCTTTGATCTGCATGCTGAGCAAATCCCAGAGAAGCTGGATGGCATGGAGAAGAATGTGGCCTCGAGATTGAAGGAAGGCTTATTAACCTTCGATATTCAGAAAACAAAACCGCGCGCGCGAGAGCACAAAACCCCGTGAAGAAAGAGCAGAAAAAGAACAAGAAAAGAAACATAAAACACAAAGGAAACAAAACCCAAAGAAGAACCCAAGCACCAAAAAGGAACAAAACAGGAACAACAAAAAATGGACCAAAACAAGAAATTTGCAAGCATTGTATCCACAAGCAATGCCCAAACAAGCACCAGACAAGAAACAAAACAAAGAACAACAGAAAGGAAACCTGAGGCAAAACACCTCCACAAAACCCCGAAAACCAAAGAAATAACAAAGAGGAAAAAGGGACAAATAACCCAAACCAGACACAACAAACCCCACATACAAATGCCAAAGAGGGACATGAAACAAGGAAAACGAAAAAAGAAGACACCAAAAGAAGCCAAGCACGGCAAAGAAGATGGAAAAGAATATGGAAAGCAAAAGGAAAAAAAAAAGGAAAAAACGAAAAAGGAGGGAAAAAAGACGGCCAAAAGGCAAAGAAGAGGAAAAAATGAAGAGGCCCAACCTGACAGACAATCAAAAAAGGGGCAAAAGAAAACACCCACGAAAAAAGGACCGCAGACCAGCGACCATCGAGGGCCAGCGAAAAAGAGAAAGGCACGCCTGCACAGGCCCGGACAGCGTGTCTGCACCAGTGGGCTCAAGCACAGGAACAGTTGTGAAGACGGCGCAGCATCGGGCAGCATTTCCTTCTGCGGTTCATTGGGTCGCTGTGGGTCAGAACAGACTCAGTAGCCCTTAGCAACAACCAACATGAACATGAACAAGCAGTCCTCAGTTGCCCGCTGAAAGCGAAGCCCCAAACGACTGCAGCAAAATAAAGAAGTTAAATAAGTTGCAAAAGGTGTTCTGGAACTGCGTTACACATGAGCCCATTGGGACATCCTTACTGACGGAAGATGGGAGAGAAACAAAGGAAGTGAAGAGTGAAGAGTGACCTTTCAGAAGGGCATTGCCAAGCCTTGTTCCCCAGGTCGCTTAGCCTCATGTGAATTATCTGCACAGAGGGCGATGATGCCCAAAGACCCGAGGTCATTCATAGCATTCACATGGGGTTTTGAAAGCAGTCGCTCATAAAGTAGTTTTCTTGAGCAACATAGTTAAAAATATTAGTCAATGGCCCATCTGCAACTGGCACCTTATCATCTAATTATTGAATATTTTAACAGTAAAACAATTTATACTTCAGAATGAATTGACACAAAGTCTAGATTAACATATGAGGAAATTACTGTACGCAGAATGATACCTTTTAGGGATAAACTATGACACATTCAATATAGACATTGACAATTTAATGACTATGGAATAATTACTGTAGAATATCAGCACTGTCAACAGAGTGAAGTAGATAATGTCTCTCCCTATTGTAAGCAGCATACCGGCTGTACTTCTTTCAGGATAGATGTGTTTTTTCTTCTGGCACTCCACGTATATCCAATATGTTTTACCAACACCATAATTCCAGGGCATATATTCTTCTACCTCATCTCATGTTCTCTATACTTATTAAAAACACCATGGCTTGGTAGGCTTCCCACGGTGCTCAAAGTGATATTAATCGTTTTGAACACTTTGAAGAAGGTCCTGCAAAATTCTATCATGCATTCTCCGAAGTCCTAGCTATCACCAAATTCATATTTTGAAACTACTGCACCTCCTTCGTTTCCTATTTCCCACGTCAGTCAGCAGGCATCAGCAGTGCGTCCTGATTGCATGTCGTGTCCGTTTCAGGCTTTGAAAGGTAGTGAAGCTCTTCTGTTCTGCATCGTTGGCATTACTGGTTGATGTGCTCTGATCTTCCTTGCTTGTATAGGAATCTTATGTTACTGGAGGAGTGATACTTCAACATAGATCGTGTCTTTCTTGTTCTTTGTTATGATGGATGTGCCTCTCTGCCTCTTCCCATGTTCATCCCTGGAACAACACCGACAACATCTGCTCTGTGAACATCTGCTTTCCACCTGGGGGCAGAGGGGTTACAGGTTGGACTGCTGAGCAGGAGGTCTACCGTTGGAGCCATAGTCACTGCTCCAGAGAAAGGGGTTTTTTTGCCCCTGTAAAGACAGAGGCCTGGAAACCCTAAGGGTCCTTTCTACTCCGTCCTATGGGGTCGCTACGAGTCAGCGTTGACTCAACAGAAGTGAATGAAGATATTGATGTGTATGAAATCTCTTCATTTTTCAAAACTCCTAAATTTGCTAATTGTTACTTCATACATTCCATGATGACTGACAGAGGTTTGCCGTTCTATCTTCTCATGTTGGACTGGGCCACGTCAGCAAAGGAAGGGTGGCTATGAGTGGGAATCGACTTGATGTCGGTTAGTTTGCTTCTGGTTTCTGGTCTGGCTAGGAGGACACAGCAGAGCTGAGAGCCATTTGGAAGTGCTTCCATTGTAGGAAAGCTGTAAAAGTGTCATCCAGTAGGAATTAGACTCACGTGTTATCTACGGCAATGCACACAAGCAAGCTTTCGTTATCCCCGAGCTCACAGGGAAAGATCTCAGACTCACTACCTGCTTTGTCCATGACCCTGACACCGGCTTCAGAAGACCCAGGCCATCACAATCACAGTCTCTGTTTAGTGGCAACCTGGACCTTTGACACTGGACTCATGGAGAGAAGTCTCTCCAGGAGCCAACTCTCACACCAAAGTCATTGCCAACTAGTAGGTTCCAATTGATAGCAACAGGGTAAACTGCCCCTGTGGGTTTCAAAGACGGTAACTCGTAGTGAGAGTAGAAAGCCTCATCTTTTGCCCTAGAAAGCCACATCTTTGTCCATCAGAGCGGCTGATGGTTTCAAACTGCCGACTTCCTGGTTAGTAACCCAGCATGTAACCACTGCACCACCAGGGCAACTTTAATAAAGAACCAGGAAGAAGTTAATTTCCACCCTGGAACCTTGGGCGCACAG